AATGAAAAACTCATGCAAGTGAAAGAAAAAAAGCCTCTAGCCTGGATAACAAAGCGAGACTCTCGCTCACCCAAAAAAAAAAAAAAAAAAACCAGACTAAAAAAATATTTTCAGCAAATACAGAGGAGACTTATATCCCATGCAAACCGATGATTAAGAAAACATAGAGACGCCTCCGCCGTTAGATAAATGAGCATGGCGCACAAGACGCCCCTTCTGGGGAAGAAAGGCCGCAGTGAGCGCGGCCGCCGGGCCGGCCCCGCGGAATGTGGGGTGCAGCGACCGTGCGATGCCTGGTCTCATCCATCAGGGCCCAGACGTCAAAGCGGGCCTCTGTGCTGGGGCGAGAGGTGTGGGGGGCCCGGGCCCGCGCGCAGCCCACGTAGGAGCCGGCCTTGGCCGGGCGCTTGTGGAAAGCAATTTGGCAGCCCTGCCCGAGCTGCGAGAACATTCGTCCTCTCTGACCCAGTAATTCCAGCGCTGGGCGCGTGCCTAGGGAAATAACCCCGGAGACGCACAGCGCGCCCAGCCCGCGTTATTTATGACGGTCAAACGCCGGGGAAGCCTGGTCCGGGGAGACGGGTAGGAAAATTATGGTTTGTCCGATTGATGGAATATTATGTGGCCATTCAAAATATTTGAAAAGACGGTGTAAAAACATGGAAAAATACTTATGAATAGTGCTAAATCTTTTAAAAAGGCAGGATTCAAGGTCGTATAGACAGCACGGCATTTGAAAAACGGCGCAGAGTCTAAATCTTTTTTTTTTTCCGAGGCCCTCCGCGTGGAAAAAGAGTAGGAAGAAATAGAGCCGGATTCCGTCTCTTTCCTGCCCCTTCCCCGTCTGGCCTGCCAGGCGGGGGAATGATAGATTATTATTTTATTTTTTTCTTCATCTGACTTTTACGTATTTTCCAAATTTCCTTTAATGGGGTGCTCTGTTTTCATAATGAAAACACAAACAGTTTTCCTAGAACGAGACAGTAACCCGTGACCTGGCGCTGCTTTTCCCGGGCTTACGGAGAGCCAAAGCGTGGAGGACCGAGACGCCGGTCCCGGGCACCGTCCCGCTCTTCCCGGGGGGGGGCTGCAACACCCACGTGGGGCCAGGGACGGGCGTGGGCGCCCCAGTCCCACCCGGGGCAGAGCGGAGCCCAGGCAAGGGCCAAAGGGGTACGAGGGGGACCCTCGGCAGGGGCTACGAGCTGGTCAGAGCCAGGAACGCAGCGGAGCTGGGCTGCACGATTGTCCCCAACACCCGTGCAAGCCGGGCGAGGCCGTCCCCAGGAGAACCGCGGCCCAAAGGGGCCCAGCAGCCCCCGGGCAGCAAGCTACGTGGAGCGCGGCGATGGTACCATTCCGAAGGGGGCTCTGGGCCAGACCCCCTCTCCCTCATGCCACCCACTCCCTGTCTATTTTCACATCGAGGGTCCTGGGAGACCCCGCAGTGTGGCTGGGCTCAGCGAGGTCATGAAGGGCCCGTCCCCCGCACCCCCCCTCCGCCTTCCTTTCCCTGCCCGACTCTTCCCTGCTCTGCAGCTCCTTCCTTGGCCGGTCGCTTCCTCCTGCAGGAAGCCCTCCTTGCCTACCCTGGAGGCCCCGGGCAGATGCCCTCCTGCACCCCTGGAGTCCGTTCCTTGGGCGACCCTGGGCCTGTTGGGTCACACGCTTTGCTTCTAACCCCAAGTCTGGCTCGGGGACTGCCCCGGGCACCTGCCCCGCACACACTGCGTGCCCAGCCCAGCCCTGCAAGGCGACGCCACTCACTTGGGTCTCGGCTTCTCTTCTAGTCAGGGCCGCACGGCGTGGGGAGGAGAGAGAGACACGGTGAGAGGGGGCCGTGCACGGCAGCTGCCGGACGGCGCCTCAGCCGGGGCCCGGGGCCGCCTCGCTCAGGGGCTCCCTGGACCCCGTCTGGGGCCGCCTGCGTCTCGGCTGAACTCACTGCCCCCTCCCCCCACCGACGCCCCCCAAAACAAGAGGGTCTTGTCCCCGTCCAGGCCTGTGACAGCCCCTGGGTGTCCAAGGAGGGCTGGGGACGTGGGGCCAGGAGGAGGGGAGGGAGGAGGAAGAGAAATGGGGTGCGGCATCTTCAGAATGGGGGAGGGAGGGACGGGGAGACTCGCGGCTGGGGGTCGGGGCAACGGGGAAAGCAGGGGCACAGGAGAAGTCCCCCCGACTGGCGCCAGGCCCCCCGGCCGCCCGCCTTGTGCAGTAAGCAGGAGGTGTCTGAGCCCTGCCCGGGGGAGGGAGGCCCAGCAGGTCCTCTCTGTCTTCTGCAGGCAGAGCCGGGGACCTAAGCTTCCGGATCCTTCTACGGCTCTGCCGCGGCACAAGCGCAGGTGCAAGAGAAAATCCACGCAGCAGGTGGGGGCCCTGTCACCTGGACCCTCCCTTGCCTGCAGGTGCCTCCGCCTGGACCCCAGGAGGCCCAGCTTGGGCCAGAGAATTGCCGTCTGAGCACGGGTGACAAGCGGCACCCAGGCACCCTCCCCGGAAGGCCTAGCCACACCGGCAGGAACATTGGACCTGGCCCAGAAAGGCCGGGGGTGCCGTCCCTCGGCAGTCCCCTGTGTCTGCACCCCGGCTCTGTCCCCTGGGTCTGGCGGGGCTGACCTGGGAATCTGAGAGCCTCCCCGACCCGGAGCCTTTCGGCTGCTGTAGTGGGTGCAGCCTCCGCGCTCGGGCAGCTCCTGGCTCGGGACATCGGGGTCCGGGCGAACCCCGAGAGTCACAGACAGGCACGTGCGTGGGGTGTCTCGGCCCCTCAGCCTGTGAAAGCCTCTGTCCACAGCCTCACGTCCAGCCCCCGCCAGCCGCAGCCCAGGAGCCCCCGCCGGGGTTGAGGTCGCTCACTGCGGCCCCCTCAGCGGGCTCCCGGGAGCCCAGGCCTGACCACCCAGGGGGGCTCCTCCCCCCCCCAGGGCCGGTGGGCCTCCTCGGTGCCGCCGCCCTCCCCCCACAGCCCAGGGGGCTCCAGACCTACACTGTGCTGCTGGCCCGCCTGGGCTGGCCCGCCTGGGCTGGCCCTGCCCCACCCTGTCTCTCGCCCTGCTCTGGGCCGTAGGTGGCAGGGACAAGGTCCCCGGCACATGGTGGCCTCTGTCCTCTCTCTGCTCAGCCCAGGAAAGCCTGGCTGACCACCAGCGCCTGCCTCCCCGCCTGCCGGGGCCCTGGGGGCTGGAGTGCATGGCGCCCTGCCTGGACAGCCCCCCGCCGGGGAGCTTGGCTGGGGCTCCCTTCGCACCCTCCTGGGCTGGCGGGTCACGTGGGCGCCCAGGGGCCCGCGGACTGCCGAGCCTTTCGGTCCTGCAGGTGGGCCTGAGGTCACCAGCTCCTGACAGCTGGGCAGGCCATGTAGGGGCCCTGGGGCTGGAACCCGGCGGGGGTGGGGGCAGGAGCAGCTTGGTGGGAGCCCGGACCCCTCCCTGCTGAGGGCTGCCGGGGGGGGGGGGGAAGCAGCCCCTGATGATGGAGGAGGAGGGGAGGCAGCCACGTGGCCAGGCAGCAAAGCGGTCTCAGCCGCCCTGGTCCCCCCGTCCACCCGTCTGTCTGTCTGTCGGGTCAGCCCCCCACCGTCTGGCCTCGGTGCTGGTTCCAGGGAGGCCTGGTGGCCCTTGAGCCCACGGGCTGTCTCCTGGACACCCCTCTGCCCGCGTGGCTGGGAGTCCACCCGCCCCCTCCTAGCATGCCCTTCTGCACAGGCCAGGGGAGGAGGACGGTGGCCCGGGCCGTGCAGGGGCCAGGCCCGGCGGGGGGAGCCCCGCAGCCCAGGAGGGCTGTGAGTGAGGGGCTGGGGAGAGCTCCCCGACCTCCACCCGGGGCACGGGGTGGGCAGGCCCATGCAGGGCCCCCCGGCCCCCGGGGCCGCCTCATTCTGGGTGCGTCTGGCTCCAGCTCGGGCACCACGGGGACGTGGGCCTGACAGACTGCTCCTTTGCACGCACGGCCCCGGCGGTTCCAGTCCCCACGTCCCCACCTTGGGCCTCCGCTTCACCCCACGCGCCCCTGCCCCTCCCTGCAGCCTCACCCCTCCCTCCGCTCCCTGCTCTGGCTGCACCACCGGGGCAGGCCCTGCCTCTCTGCCTCTGCTCTCCCCAGCTCCACCCGGGTGGACCCAGGGGTCCCAGCGGACCCGGCATCACCCTCCCAAAGCCCACTCTGCACGCAGCCTCCAGGCTGCCCACGCCCCACGCTCCGCCCTCCCTCTGGCGGCCCCACTGCGGCCTCGGTGCCCGCAAGCCCCTGACCCCGCTCCCTGCCGGGGAGACCAGGAGCAGGCCTGCACCCCGCCAGCCAGTCCCGTCTGAGCCAGGGTCCCCAGTCTGCCCCCTCCCAGGGGCGAGGACAGGGCCAGTCACGCAGGGCAGGCCGGAGGGAGAGAGGAAGGAAGGAAGGAAGGAGGGAAGGGGCTCCGGCCGGGGCACGGGGCGCTGGCGTACCTTCTTGGACTTCCTCTGCAGGGCGGCACCGTGGGGGGGGGGCGGGAGGGAGAGAGAACCAGCGTGAGTGGGGCGCAGAGGAGCTGGGGCAGGGGGGGTGGCGGTGGGGGTGGCGGGGTGTGAGCAGGACCGGGTGAGTGGGTTACATGGCCCTCTTGTTCCGTCTCGGCTGCGGGCACGCCCACACTGACCACATGTGCCCATGTGGCGTTGAAGTCATGTCACATACCTGGCTCATGAACTTCAGGGGCTAAGGAGGGCCGTGGAACAAGAGGCAAAACCGCGGGTCAGAGGTCAAAGGAGAAAGGAATCGGAGGTTAATGGAAAAAAAAAACAGCCCATGACACTCGAGGCGGGGGTGGGGGTGCGTGCAGGGAGCAAGCCAGGTAGAGTCAGCCCCGGAGGTGCCACCGCCCGGGCCACGCTCAGAGTCTCGGGGCAGGAGGGGCCTCAGAGACCCGAGTCCACCCCGAACACGTGTCCTACCCCACAGATGGGGAAACCGAGGCCCGGGGGCTAGCCTGGGATGCTGGCTCTCGCTACCGTGGTGACGCCTCTTGACTGCTCTGGTTATGGGGACCTGGTCCTTGCTCCCCCCAGCTCCCATCTGTTCTAGGGCCCCAGAGGGACTGGCAGGCCCCTGGCTGGACACCCCCATTTCCTACACCCCAAGAGAGCAGCACCCACTCCCTTCCTTCCCCTCATGGGGTGGTTTCCAGCTTCCAAAGGCGCCAGTGGCCCCGGGTGGGGATGGCGGCCTGTCCACCGTTCTGAGCTCAGGACCCCGGCCTGTCCCCAGCCCCGCTCTTGGCCGCGCCCCAAGGAGTCCCACGACAGAGGGCTGTGGCGGGGCCCTGCAGGGGTGGGGCCTGGCTGGCTGGTTGGGCTGGGGTGCGGGGCCCATGGCCAGGCACGGGGCCCCGCCGCCACCATCTGCCTGCTCTCCCTGGGAGACATGTGGCCCAGCCCGGGGTCAGACGCCACCCTGGGCTCTCGGTTCCCCACCTGGGGCAGGGGCCGGGCCGGCCTCAGTCTGGTCCCCAAGTCTCCCCACTGCCCTGTGCTCGGGGCCACCTCCAGCGGGGGGGGGGGGGGGGGCCACGGGTCCCCGGGGGGGGCCGGGGGTGGGCCCCCCCCCCCGGGGGCGGGGGCCCCCCCCGGGGGGGGGGGGGGGAGAGCACGTGTTCCCGGTGGGGGCCTGGGCTGTGCTCCCGCCCTCGGGGGCCGGGCCCTCCATGGTCATGCATCGCCGAGGTTAGTGGGTTACTCGGGGGCCACATGTGGGGGCCCCTGGGCTGACTGGTGCCTCGTGGCTTCCCCGCCCCCGCCCCGCCCCCTGCGGGCTCCAGCCAGGCCCGGGCCCCACATGGGGACCAGAAGTCCTGTGTCCTCGTACCTTCCTCCTGGACTTCTGCGGCGGAGGAGCCAGGGCGCGAGGGCCGCGGAGAGGAGAGAGAGAGAGGGTTAGACAGGAAGGAGCGCACGGCACGGCCTTAGAGGCGGGCGGGGGCAGGGGCCACGACCCAGTGCAGGGTCGCCGTGGGGTGGAGGTCAGTGGGAGGCCAGGGGGCCGTGGGGGCCGGGGTCCTGGACCCCACTTACCTTCCTCCTGGGCCTCCTCTGCCGTGGGAGACGCCGGAAGCAGGAGGCGGCGGGCGGACAGAGAGAGGGAAGAGGGACAGTGTTAGAGGCGTGCACTTGGGAGGCCGGGACGGGAGGCTGGCCCGCCTCGGCACGCCTGGGAGCCAGGGCTCCCGTGAGCAGAGGGGCTCAGTCACGGCAGGGCCCCGGGGTGGCCTGGCCCTGCCTGGAGGCCCCAGCTCAGCCTCCCTCCCCAGTGATGGGAGGACGGGACGGAGCAGCCCGGGCGTTCCGAGGAGCCCCTGTGCCGCCCGCCCGGTTCCCGCCCCAGGGGACGGCCTCAGGGGTCTCTGAGCAAGCTGGAAGCAAGCCGGTGACACCGAGGGTCTTTTAGGACACGTGCCACGGCCACCCCAGGGCCACGTTTCCCACTCAGAAATGGGTCTTTCCGCCTTTTCGGCAGAGAAGAGGCATGTTCCGCTCAGGTTGTCAAAGTGCTCTCCAAGCAGCGCCCCGAGCTCCGCACGCCAGGCGAGCGGCTGCCCGGGCTTCCGCGGCGACGCCCGCCGGGCCCGAGAGCCGCCGCCCTGCACCATTGCCAGGTGCGCCTGCGCCCGGCGCTCCCGCCCGCCTGCCCGCGCCTGCCCGGGCTCGGCCCGGTGCCCGCAGACCACGCCCGGCCTGCGCAGGGCGTCTCCGGGCTCCACCCGCGCTTGCGGCCTGGGCTCCGGGTGGCACCCATGGAGAGAGGCTGAGAGACACAGAGACGGAGATGGAGACGGAGAGACATACGCAGAGAGACAGGGACAGAGATGCGCAGAGATACTGAGAGACACTCAGAGAGACAGGGACAGAGACACACAGAGATACCGTGAGATACACAGAGACAGGGACAGAGATGCGCAGAGATACTGAGAGACACTCAGAGAAACAGGGATAGAGACACACAGAGAGACCATGAGATACACAGAGAGAGGGACAGAGATGCGCACAGACACTGAGAGATATGTAGAGACACTGAGAGACGCACAGAGATACTGAGAGACACAGAGAGGCAGAGACGGACGTCGAGGCAGGCGGAAGGCCGAGCACACGAGGCACTGGGTGTGAGCCCGAGTGAGGCCCGGAGGCCCACGCCTCGCGGTGCACGCAGCTAGGGAAGGTCACAGGACGGGCGGCGGGCACACACTGAGTACAGAGGTGAGAGGTTAGCCACGACTCAAGCCATGATTAAGTCACTGCCACCAAGAAAGCGAGTGTGTCGTTAATGGTCAATCAGACCGCCGGTGGGTGCTGCCGTTAGGATGAAGGAACGATGAGGAAGAGGGCGTTAAGGCCGAGCCGGGGCTGGAGGAGGCCTGGGTGGGGCTGCAGGCACTGAGCGGGGTTGGGGGGGTTCAGAGGGGGGGGAGGTCTGGGAGTTCAGACGGGGGGGGCTCTGGGGGCCTCGGGGTGCCAAGATTACCTTCCTCCTCGTAGGGCTCTGCGTCGGACAGAACAGAGAGAGGGGCCGCGTCAGGGGCGGTGGGGGGCAGGGTGCCCACGCCCGCGCCGTCCAGTGGCGTCCCCTGGCCGGGGCCAGGGAGGGGGCAGGGGTCCTGGACCCAAAGGGGCTGCTGGCGCCGGAGGGGTGGCTGCGGTTTGGGGAAGGGGTCGTGTGCACCGGGCGTCCCCTCCCACCGCGGGCAGGAATGACGCAGAGAGGGACAGGACAGGGATGCCCCGCAGGGCCACCAGTGGGGCGCAGCTCTGCCGTGCGTGCCGGGGTGACCCCATCTTTGCAGGGGCCGGGCCATTTCCAGAGGGGGCGCTGGGAAGCCCACCCACGGGACGTAGCGAATGGAGGGCTCGCAGGCCGGGGGGCCCAAGGCAGCGCTGGCCGCCCGCACCCAGGCCCCTCCCCCAGCGTGGCCTTCCCGCCCGGGGGCGCAGGAGGGAAGGAACAGCCAGGACACTTACCCTCAACCTGCTCACTGCGTGGCCAGGAGGTGGGGCGGGGGTGGGGTGGGGGGAGAGAGAGAAGAGTGAGGGGTTTTGCTGGGGCGGGTTGGCCGAGGACGTCAGCATGTCCCCCCACCCTGCACGCAAGCCAGGGGCGGTCCCGGGCTGGGCGGGGGCGGCCTCTCAAACTGGCACTCACACTTCCTCGTCAGACATGGTGGGGCCGGGTGGGTTCTGCAGAGAGAGAGAGATGGGGGCCCAGAGGACGCTGGGGTCGCCTGGGTGTGGACGTGCTGGGACAGGTGGGGGTACCATAAGGGGACAACTACGGACAGGGGTCAGGGCGTGTCCACCTCATGCACCCAGGGCCTCCTCACGGCCCCCACCCTGCCCTCCTCACCCCAGACCCTGCCCCCCTGCCCGGCTCCAGCCGTAGCTGCACAGGATGCCGGGCAGCCCTGGTGTCACCCCCAATCTGGGGCAGGCGTCCCCTCGGTGGCACCCGAAGGGAGGGTCCCCGAGTGCGGAGTGCCCGCCCAGGCCCCGAGGGCCGACCCTGGCCGAGTCCTGCTGCTCTGAGCTAGAACTGGCCTCTCCATGGTCTCTGCTCAGTGGGCCCGGCCTGGGGGCTCCCTGGGGGGCTCCCCTTGCTGACCGAGCCGGGCTGGATAGATGGGCGACCCGGACCCTCTCTCCCTGCCCGCCCCACGGCCCCCGAGAGAGCCCAGAGCTCCTCCTGTGTCTCAAGGCCTCCTTCGAGTTCCCCCTGTTGTTATGGGGTGCCCCAGCATCTCCTGCGTGTCCCCCACAACCCTCTGAGGAGCCCTCTTTCGAACCCCAGCGCAGGGGGCCGTCCCATCTCCCTGCCCCCAGCTCACTGGGGCGGGGTGGGGGGGCGGCTGTTCTCTGTGCTCCCCCTCCCCATGCCTGGGTGGCCTGCACATGTGCCACGTGTACAGCCCCCCTCCACCCCGCCCGCCCCACCCCCGTTCTCCCCCTGCTTTCCCAGGCCCCCTGGATGTGCTTGAATCTGTCACTGTCCATCCTGCGCCCGGGGCCGGCCGCCTGCGTCCAGGTGCGGCGGCACGGGGCCAGGCGCTCGGACAGGGTCTCCGCCGCGAGCTGGCCGCCGCGGGCGCCTGGGGCCTGGGAACGCTCGCAGCTGGGCCGGCGTGTTGGAAACAAAGGCCATTACGGCAGGCTGCAGCTCTCCACGAGACAATAGCTGCGGTGCCCCCAGGGAGCTCCGTGTAAGAAAAACAAACGTTCATCAGCTAAAAATGCGCGCTCGCATCCCATGGCTAAGGTGGGAACCGTTTTCCAAACCCCGTGTCAAAAATGTTGATTTTCCCAGAGCAACTTGAGCTCCATGCGAAATTAACCAGCAGATATCCGTGGGCCCCTCGCTCCCAGGCTCTGGCAGCCCAGAGCCCTCCCCGGGCTCTCCCGCCCCCGCAAGTGCAGCCTCCGGTCAACCCTGCAGCTGGGGGGTGGGGGGCCGGGGGCTCAGTGCACCGACCCAGCTCCTCGGGTCTTTCTCTGCCTTGGGGGTCCCCCTCTCGGCTGGGTTGGCGCCGCTGTCTGTCGGGTGGGCAACCGGCCCGCCCTGCTGTGCCCACCCCTGACCTCAGCAGGGCCGACACCTGTCAGCCGGGCGGGCGGGGGTGGCCATGGTGGCACGTACCCAGGGGGGGCTATTTATAAGGAGCTGGTGGCAGCTGAGACGTCCAGAAACAGGCACCAAAATTAGCAAGACACCTCTGCCCAGAAACTCAAGACGGCAGGTGTGGGGGCTGTGAGGGCCCCCCTCCCCCGCCTCTTCTCAGGCACCCGGGCCAGCCCCGCCCCGGCTCTTCCATCCTCCCTCCCGCCCCTGGGCCGGAGTCCACATGGGCGCCCAGGGGTGCTCTGGGGCAGCCAGGCAGGGTGACCCTCGAGGCCCCCCACTTGAAGCAGCAAAGGCTCACTTCTAAGTGGGGAAACTGAGGCAGCGGCTCCTCTGCCGAGCGCCTGAGGGCCGCGCAGGGCTGCTCTGCTGCCCCATTGTGGGATCTGAGTGGGATCCATGTGGCCGGGGGGGGGGGCCGGGGGGGGGCGGGGGGGGGGGGCCGGGGAGGGCACTGGGACAGCTGAGAGGGAGACAGTTGTCCTGTTCGATGCTCTGCCCTCCAAGGGGCATGGCAATACCCCATGAGGTCGGCCTCCTGGGCACACGCGCCCTCCTGCCCACCGGCAAAGGGGGGCGAGGCCCGGGGATGCAGTGGGGGGGCCCTGACCACACCCGGGCCCCACTCCCGCCTTGCCCCCTGTCCTCCTGCGTGTTCCATGGCTTCAGGAGGGCACTGAGCCGTGGCCAGGCGGTGCCCAGAGGGGGCCGGGAGGACCAGCGTGTACCCCAGCCCCCTTGCCCGGGAGCTCTGGATGGTAACCCCAGGACTGGCTGGGCTCCAGATGGCCCCCCACAGATTCGCTCCTGGGGGGACCCTAGACCAGCCCCCGCCCCTCCGCCTCTGTTCTTGCCTCCACGAAGGCCGGCATTTGAGGCCGGAGCTCTGCGGAAAGGCCGGTCGGGGCGAGGACCCTCGTGGCCCCGTGCCACGGCGGGTGGCCCTCAGCGCTCGGGGCGGCCGCTGCTCTCTCCCCCTCCTGGCTCCTGTCTTGGGGCGACCCCACACCCCTGGGGCTCCCCAGGGACCCCGGCTCCCCCCGCCCCCACCCTGGCCTCCCGCCCTGGCCTCCCGCGCCTGCATCCCGGTCTGGACTGGTCTCTTCCGCGCCCCGCGGATGCTCAGAGAGCCTCGCAGCGTTCCAGACTCCCGGGCTCGGGGAGGCCGCCTGGGCACCCAGCACTCGGGCCGCCCAAGGCCCCGCGTGGGCCGGGCCAGCGAGGCCGGAGCCCGTCGCCCCGGCAGCTGCTCTTGTCCGTACCAACCTGCGGGCGGAGGCGGCGGAGGGCTGGAGCTCGCTGTGGACGGCACCGGGGCACGCTGACCACCCGCGGCCGCGCACCCTCGTGTTATAGTGACACTCGATCTTTCCCAACAGCCCATTGGCCGGCGGCCGGGCGTCGGGGCGTCGGGGCCGTGCCCACGCGGGCCCTTACCAAGTATAGGAATGGCCGTGGAGGAGGCCGGAGGGGCCGGGACGGGGGATGTGCCTGAGGAGGGGACAAGGTCCTCCCTCCTCCCCGGAGGTGTCAGCTTCTATTTTTACCCCGGCAGTGGGCACATTCTTGACGCGCCGAGGAAGGGAGCAAGACGGTGGCCCTGGGGGAGGGCGTCCCCGTTCTCCTTGGGCCAGGTTGGCGTAGGGTCCCCGAAGCGGGGCCCAGGCGCCCCGGTGCCCTGCCCCTCCCTCTGACGTGTCCTGTAGGCGCCGACCTCTCACCCGGGCAGGGGTCCGGGGTCGCCCACCCAGCTCGCACAACGCCCCAGGCCGCCCTACCCCTACCATGGGGAGCTGCCTGAGGTCCTGCCGCGCACCTTAGACTGGGGAGGCCGAGACCCTGGACGGCCCCGTCACCTCTGAGCCCCCGACAGGCCAGGCCTGTCCCCCAGGTGGCCTCGGTGGGGTGCTCAGAATAAACGGGCACGAGAAGTCCCCAGGCCCGGCTGCCGCCTCGTGTCTGCGGCATCTCTCCTGCTGAGCTGGCACCTCTGGGGCCGGCGGCTGTGCCTGGGACCCCCTGTCTGGGGGTCGAGACCCTCCCCCGGGGCCCCGGTGTCCCCTCTGTGTCCCCATCTCCGAGCCCGGCCTTTCTGTCCTCACGACGGCAGGTGGCACCAACCTCCAAGAGACGCCGCGCCCAGGCCTCTGCTGGACACGCCGGCCAGTGAGGCCGCCAGCCTAGACGGCCCTGCCCCTTGCATTGGGGAAACTGAGGCACCAGACCCTGCCCCCTGCTCCCTCCCCCGGGCTGAGCAGAGACAGTGGAGCCTGGGGCATTGCCCACGGCAGGGCAGAAGCCGGTGCCTGCAGCAGCCAGTGCCCAGGACAGGCTGAGTCAGGGACGTCAGGGTGACCTGGCCCAGGCCCACCCCAGCTCGGTGCCGGGGCTGGGTCTTCAGACGCCTTCCGGAAGGCTGTGGCGCGGACAAGGCCGCGGAGGCCAGAGACAGGCAGGGGCGTGCTGGGGCCGCACAGCCTCCCCCTCTGCCACCCCCCCCACGTGCACCCGGCACAGGAAGACCCTCGAGCTGGGCGGCTGGGGACGTCCCTGCCTTCCCGGTCAGAACCCAGCGTCCTCCAGCCCTGCACGCCTACCCTCCCTGCCCACGTCCTCGGACGGGCGAGGGGTTGCTGGCCACACACATCCTTGCGCTGGACAAGCCTGGCCGGCTTCCTGCCTCCTGGGGTCACCTGCAGAGCCACCTCTGCAGGGCCACCTGAGCTGGTGCCTGGGGGCTGCCACGCCCAGCCCCGTCCTCTCCGTGAGTGGGGGGCCGGCTCCCCTGGCCCTGCTGACAGTGGCGGGCGTGGGGGGGGCTGTGCACTTGGCCGGGGTCCTCAGGGGCTGCCCGCAGGTAGGCACGCGTGGCCCTGCAGTGGCCCTGCCTGGCCGGCAGGGGAGGGTAGCTGCCCGCTCAGCGGCCCTGGCCGTGCCAGGCGCTCTCCTGAGAGCCGGCTGAGGTCACAGGGAGAGGCAGGCTTTATTTCGGGTGTCAGCGACCTCCCCTCGGGACACCCAGCCCGCGGCGCGGCAGATGGCACAGAGCGGGCAGCAGCCCTTGGCCACCGAGGGTCGGCGGCAGGTAACCCACGCCCAGCGCCGCCTGGCCTGGCCTGGCTGGGGCAGGTCGTGAGGAGAGGAGTCCGGGCAGGGGCAGGCGGGGCTGTAGAACAGGATCGAGGTGAGCGAGGGACGAGGGGTCGGTGGGGCCAGTCTCCAGTCCGGTAGGCCTGAGGACCGACCGCAGGGCCTTGGCCTGGCAGCGGGGAAGGGGCTTCCGAACTCGGCAAGTGCTGGGACGATCTGGATAAGGGGGGCCGTGGGAGCCAGGCCCAGCCTCCCCAGTGTCTCGGCTCTGGTGGCCTGCACGGGGGGCCCCAGGGTGTCAGGTGGTGGCAGCACCCCTCCACCCAGGCCCCAGCCCCCAGTGTGCAGGGCTGGGGGTGGCAGAGCCCAGGGGACGCTGAGCCTCTGCGGAATGCCCCGAGCTGACCTGGGCGCCCAAGCCGGTCCCAGCCACGGGCTCGGGCGCTGCCAGGCCTGGGCCGGGAGCAGCTGACACAGCACTTGGGGCCTGAGCCGCTCCAGCCCGGGGTGGCGGCCGCCCCGCACGCCCGGGCTTCTCCTGGCTTTGTGGCTGTGCCAAGATGTCCTGCAGATATTAAGGGGCGTCCCCGTGTGGGGCTGATGTTGGGGCCTGCAGGGCGGCAGCTGGGGGACAGATGGGCCCTCGGGCAGGCAGGATGGGTGGCGGAGGGGCAGCGTCCTTGACTCTGCAGCAGGCAGGGTCCGGCCCCCAGGTTCCTGGCAGTGATGCTGGGGCCAGGGAGGCCTCGGTGGAGGCTGGGTCTGAAACACCTCGATCAGCTGAGGCTGAGCTTCTCAGAGGGACAGACCCTGGGTCCTCATCCCCAAGGCTAAGGCAAGGGCCAGAGGCTCCAACAGGGCCCAGGGTGGGGGTCAGGGAGTGCAGGCTGCCTCTTGGCCTTTGGTGCCGTCCACTCGGGGCCCAGCTCACTGCCACTGTCCCTGGGGCAGCCTGTCCCTGGAGTCAGTGGCTGCCCCTGGTTACCATCCCGCTCACAGTAGATGGGAAGGGAGGGTCTTCCTGCACCGGGCGTGCGTGGGGAGGCTGTGTGGACCCAGCACGCCCCTGCCTGTCTCTGGACTCTGCAGCCTTGTCCCCACCACAGCCTTCCGGAAGGCGTCTGAAGACCCAGCCCCGGCACCGAGCTGGGGTGGGCCTGGGCCAGGTCACCCTGACGTCCCTGACTCAGCCTGTCCTGGGCACTGGCTGCTGCAGGCACCGGCTTCTGCCCTGCCGTGGGCAATGCCCCAGGCTCCACTGTCCCTGCTCAGCCCTGTCACCTGGGAGAGGGTCTCCGGCTGGACAGGGCATGGCCCTCATGCCCTCTCGAGGGCCGGGCCCTCGGCAGACGGGACAGGGGGTCTTGGCCTCTCTGGGGGGCAGCCCCTTAGGCCAGCAGTCAGGAGCCTCTTTCCTCCCCCAGGCAGACAGGGGCAGAGCTGGGCAGAGAGTGGGAGAGGCCAGAGGCTCCAGGAGCGAAAGGCAGGGGGGTGACACAGGTGTGAGGGCAGCCAGGCTGGTGACGGGAGGCGGGTTCTTAGCCAGGGCTGTGGCGGCTGTGCCCCATGCATCATCAGCCGTTCCATGTGCACGACGAGGCAGCCAGAGTGTGACACGGATTCTTCAGAAGGTGGAGGCTCCAAGGGACCAGGGGATGGCAAGGTCCAGCCTAGAGGTCCAGGGGGGCCTGCTCTTCAAAGGGGCTCCCCAGGGCAGCAGGGCTGAGCATGAGCCCAAGTGTGGGCCCCGGGGGAGAGGCAGAGCCGGGAAGGACATTCCCCCGTTCCCATGTCACACACTTGTCCCTTCACCCACTGGTCGAGTCATTCTCATGTATCCATCTGATATGCCCTATGTTCCTTCCTCCTTTCATTCTCCTTCCCTCCCTTCCTTCCTTCCTCCTCTCCTTCCACCATCATTCATCCATCTACACATCCATCCATCCATCCACCACCACCAACCATCCAGCCATGACCCATCCATCCACCATCCATCACCATCCACCACCATCTATCCAGCCACCACCCATCCATCCACCACCTACCATCCACCACCCACCATCCACCACCCACCACCATCTATCCAGCCACCACCCATCCATCCATCCACCATCCACCATCCACCACCCACCATCCACCACCCATCCACCATCTACCCATCCATCCATCCACCATCCATCCATCTATCCATCCATCCATCCACCATCCATCCATCTATCCATCCATCCATCCACCATCCATCCATCTATCCATCCATCCATCCACCATCCATCTACCACCCATCCATCCATCCACCACCACCATCCATCCATCCATCCATCCACCATCCATCCACCACCCATCCATTCATCCACCATGCACCCATCTATCCACCAACCATCCATCCATCCACTGTCCACCCATCCATCCACCCACCATCCATCAACCATCCATCCACCATCTACCCATCCACTCACCCATCTATCTGTCCATCCACCAAACCTTCACTGAGCACTGCTTAGGTGCTGGGATGGACGATGACCCCAAGGTGGGTCTTGCCCTCAGCAGGCACGCAGTCAGAGCACAGGTTTACAGTGGGCCAGTCAAGAGGGGGATGTCACAACATTCTGGAAAAGGCAGGCTGGACCCCACCCGTTGCATGGGCACTGACTTAGACCACCACAGACTTCATATCCTGGTGCCTACCCCTGTGGAGGGCCACAGGACAGGGCAGAGGGACATTGCATGGTGCGGGGCTGTGTGTCCCGGTCAGCCCCACTCCCCCGTCCCCCTCAGTGAGCACGGCGAGCCAGTGCATGGGGACACAAGGAGCTTTATTGCATGACGTGGGGAGGGCAGTGAGGCAAGCGGGGACGGGAGGGGCACAGAGTCCTGAGCATCCAGCGCAGGGGTTGGCGGCTCTTGGCCTGGAGATCACCCTGCGGGTACCCCTCAGATCTGGTGGGGTGACCGGCCCCCCTCTGCACAGGCGGCACCTTGTTCTCCTGCCTTCCCCGAGAGCTCTGGTCCTCTCTGGGGGGCAGCCCCTTTGGCCAGTGATCAGGAGTCTCTTTCCTCCCCAAGCAGTCAGAGGCAGAGCTGGGGTCAGAGTGGGAGAGGAGAGAGGCTGGAGGGTCCAGGAGCAAAAGGAGTTCGCGGTGGTGGTGGTGGTGGTGGGGGGTGTCAAAGGCACCAGGGTGGGCCAGGCTGGTGACAGGAAGCAACTTCTTAGCCAGGGCTGGGGCGGGTGTCTGGCCGGGATCTCCCTGGGAACACGGAGGGTGCTGAAACACAGTGTGGGGTGCAGGGAGTGTGAGGCTGGGGTCCAGGAGGGGCCAC